TATTCATTTTCCTATGCAATCAAACTTTTATAAATTATATTTGTATTTTATTGTAGTAATAAAAAAATTTGAATATCAAATATCTCTATACATAAAATATTTTACAAATATTTATTCTAATTATATTTTTCTATATCTTGTTAATTAAATTAGATATAACTTTTTAAAGTAGGGTAATATACATCTTTTAAATATAATAATAAATCATATATTATATATATTATATATATTTTTATAAAATTCTTATGAAGAAAATACAATTGAATTTTATATTTATATAAAATAAAATTAACGTATATATTATACGTTAAGAATAAATATATATATATACATATATATATATATATATTAAGTTATCTAAAATAGATAAATATTGAAATTACTGTACTGTACAAGAAAAATGTACAAATATACAAATGATATTAATATTATATCATTTTTAATATTTTTTTTACTTATTTTTTTCAAGATAACACTTCTCTTTTAAGTGTTCGCAATAATTTCATAATAAATTTTTACTTCTCTAGATTTTGATAATATTGTGCAAGAACAATCCACGCTTTGGATGACATAAAGCCATCAGGTGGATTTTTACCTGCTTTTGCTAAACCTATAAAAAAACATTATATATGTTTTAAACACTAAACTTCTATTTTTTTATTAAATCTAGTTTTTAATTTTAATATTAAATAATAGATATTTTTTTTTAGAATATAATATATAATAAACATATTTTGTGTAATATTCTTTGTATATAATATACATATATACATTATTATATACATACAACGCATTTTTGTCCCTGATATAAATTCAAAATCTTCTTTTCGTTTCTCATCAAAGAAAGACATTTTTTTATATTTTTTATCATATGCTGCAACTTTAAATGGTATGATTTCTAGTGATTGTAAACCTCGAGCTATTGAGAGAACTTTGGCTCCATGAGTAGGATCATAAAGATTTCCATCTGGTGTTGCATTTCTATTAGGATGTGGTATACCAGCAGGATCTCTTCCAACAATATAAAAGTTAGCACCAGCATTCATTCTGGCCTTTGCGTGCCATTGTACCTAATAATAAATAAATGTATGTAATGTAACATGTTATTATATAGAATGTTCTACAAGATATCAACATAATTTTAAAATCTTAATCAATAAAATTATACAATTCTATATTTTTATGTTTTTATTATAAATTTTAATATATATAATATTATAAAAAAATATTTAATATTATTAAATTATTAGTTTCTTTTTATTGTATTTCTTATTCTCTATTATATATATAATTAATATGAAAAAAATAATAGTCTTCTTAAAAAATTAAGCTTTCAATGATTAAATTAAAAAAAGTAATATGATAATTACTTCAAGTTGCCAGATTTTAAATCTAATTCTATGAAATTTATTTCATACAATTATATAAAAAAATATATAATATAAATATATATTTATATTTATATTTTAATATTATCAAATCTTAAAATCAATAATAATTAAATTTATAAATAAAATATCATTAATTTTAATAATATTTGTGAAATACAATTATAAAATAAAGAAATAAATGCAATATTATAATATTTTATTAATTTTATTGTAATTATAAAACAAATGAAAATATATAATTAAAATTTACCTCAATTGGTCCAGCATACATCATTGGACTTGGAAAAATTGCTAACAATGTAGAACTAGCATCCAATACCCCTTCATTAAGTACAGCTTCATGTTGTAGAATTCTTGTATGTAATGGTACATCATCATCTTTTGTCCAACCACCCAGAGGATGTAACAATAAAACAGGATTTTTAAATCCTCTATCTTCTAATAAGCGTTTTTTTGTATCCTATAAATATAAATATAAAATATTATATAAAAAATTATTATATAAATTTATTATAAATTAACAAATTAACATACTTGCATTAATAATGCATGACCATTATGTATAGGATTTCTAAGTTGAAATGCAAATACAGCATCAGCTTTCATTTTTCTACATTTTATTCTAATTTCATTTGGAGTAAGTCTATATTTATCTAAACCATCATGCCATTTAATCCTTTGAATAACTTCTATATCACCACCTACTAACCAATCGCCAGATTCATGAATTATTTTTACATATGGATGTTCTAAATTGTTAGTACCAAATTGCCAACCACATCTTTCTTCTTTTCTGTGAAAATAAAATTCAGGCCTACGTAATATTGCAAGAGGTTTGTATTTATATTTCAATGTAAAAGCTGAAAGTCCATTTAAACGTTGCTTATCCTCTGCATGTATTGCAAGGACTATGGGAATTGATTGGTTAATTTCTTTATCATCTTCAAGAAGACATTTTAAATGTTGAGTCTAAAAATATTTTAGAAATAGTCTTGTAATAATAATAATTGAATTTTTAATATTATTTTTGTATTATTATTTTATATTTATGTTAATATATATTATATATGTATGTTATATACCTGAAGATATTGATGTTCTCTCATAAAACCAGTAAGAGGTGCTGCCCAACCTTCTGCTAAAACTTGGAGCCATTGTACATCTATTTCACTAATTTCTAAACTCTGAAGAGTAGCTGCTTCTGTTTTGGCAGAAGATATTCGTGATTCTGGAATGAACAACTCCCGTATTGGTATAGAGGGTTTTTGAAGTATTGGTATAATACAATGTTTCTCCAGAAGATCAATAACAGTTGCAGCTGATTCTTCTGGAGTACAGTTTTCAGTGATTACCACTAAATCAGGATTTGTTGGTCTTTCATACATCTGATCTATTCCAGTAAAACCTTTGATTGTGCCTTCACGTGCTTTTTTATATAATCCTTTTGTATCCCTAGCTTCACATACATTAAGAGGTGTATCAACAAAAATTTCAAAAAATGGAAGATCCGACATTTTATGAATTTGTCTTGCCATTTGTCTATCTTCTTCAAATGGCGATACAAAACTACATAAACAAATTTGACCACTATCAGCAAATAATTTTGCTACTTCTGCAACTCTTCTTATATTTTCTTTTCTATCTTCTTTGCTAAAACCAAGATTGCAGTTTAAACCACTTCTTACATTATCTCCATCAAGTCCATAAGCAGCAATTCCATGATTAACTAAAATAGCTTCAACTTGAAAAGCTATGGAAGTTTTTCCTGCACCAGAAAGGCCTGTTAACCAAACTGTACATCCTCGAAAACCTCTTATACTGCCTATTGCTTGTCCACGTTTTGCTCTTGATACATGATGTGCTTGCTCTGATACATTGCTACAAGTCTAATAAAAATTTTATTATTTATAATACAAAAAATTAAAAAAATAGATATAAAATATCAATTTTAAATATTCTTAATTACTCTTAAATTTAAATAATTTTATCTATAAAATAATAAAAAGAATTTATTTATCTTAAGAGTTAAATTAAAATAAATATATATAAACATTTTAAATATTGTATGTATTGTATGTATATGTTTCTTAAGAAGTATCTAAAAGTATCTTAAAAAATATAAATGATATGTACCGTCATCATACGTTTATTTGGAGTTTCGTTTGACATAACTATATTATATCTTTGACTTCGTAAATATATATATATTTATGAATGCACTTGTATACGTGGCAATTGATCGCGAATATAAGATAAAATTTTAATATATTAAATATTTAATATAAAAATAATTCTTTTAAAAAAACAAGAAAATAAATTTTAATTTTATTATATGTTTATATAATATAATGTTTTTGAACATTAAAATTAAATAAATAGAAAATAGAAATATTCTATTCCGTAATCAGTGATACACAACTGCAATAGTGAATAATACGAAACATGCTCTAACCATACTATACTATAAAACTAGTTCGAAATGCTAACATTTTAACAAACAATTATCAATTTATAATTGTAATACATGCTACTTCTTAATCATTTTTAACATTTCAAGAATATAAATTCATTATAATTTATATAAATATGTTATAAATAAAAAGACTTAATATATATATTTTATATTTGTATATCATTAATTCTAATTAGAAGAATATTGAATAAATACAATTAAATTATTAGTATCATATTTATTATGCTCTAAAAACTTAGAAAAATATTTTAATATAAAAATAAAAATAAAAGTATTAGAATAAAACTAATATTATAAATTACAATTAGTATTATAATAATCATAAATTTTTTTTCAATATTATATTTTTTGTTATTGGATATTTTATGCATTGTATATTCTATATACATATATAATATATTTGGATAATTAGGAAAATAGTATACATATAATTATTATTCAATATATATCTTCAATATATCTGTTGCGTTGCACTTTATAGTTATAACAAAATACATAGATTCTTTAATAGATCTAAAAATATCGTTTATATAACCTAACAATATATATTTTGATTTATTTTGAAAATCTGAACAAATTAAAAATAGAGATGTTCCAATATATAATTGAATATATATCTAAAAAACATGGTTTAATAATCATTATATTAAATGTTTTAATAACATTATAAATCATTCCTGCAAGATGTCTATTATTTTCTTCATTATATTTTATATGAGATTATATACTTAATTTTTTAATATTTATTTATCTTAAAAAAGTATATAAATAAAATTTATATACTATATAATTATATTACATAATGGGCCAATGGATTTTATATATATTAAATATTATTTATTGATTTATTGATATAGATTAACTTTTTTCATATTGTATTACTTGAATATACGATTATTTTTACTTTAAGATTATAAATATTTATTCAAGGATATAAAGAAAGTTAATAATAATAAATAAATATGATATATGTATTCTAAGAAATATATATTTCTCTTATATTTAAAGATATCTTATTTTTTTAAATATATATGAAAAAAAAGAATTATATATTACATATAAAATATTACAATATTTATTCAAAAGTATATTATGTATATAATTTTAAAACTTTATATACTGAAATTAATTTATTTAAAAAACACTTATTTTTTAATAAATTTAACATACACATAAATATATATTTAAAACATGTTTTTTATAAATTTAATGCACTATTATACTTAAATCATAATACAAATTTATTTATAATTTATATTATTTATATTATTTTTTTTTATTTTTTATTTCCCATAATCCATTTCTAACAAACCTTTGTGCTGCATCTTTGTTTATATGAGGCATTAGAGTTTTCTTGTCATTAATTTGTTTTGCACGTGTCATAGACTTTTTTAAACGATCATTTTCCAATTTTATTCGATGTTTTGCTGGATCAATTCCTAAATAAAATCAATATAAAATATTTAATAAAAACACACAATATTTTATTATATTTAAAATTATTGTATAATTAAATATTTTTTTTTATTTTACCTTCTGCGCGTAAATACATCCAAAACATACTATTTAAGCAATAAGACATTAATAGATTATATTCAATTTTATCTGTGTTAGAAAGTTTTTCATATATCGCAGGATCTGTAGCATATTTAATTGTATCTTCAATTTTTAATGTTATATCACGAAATTGTTTAATTCTTGTAATAATATCTGTATCATGTGACAATTCTTCAAAATCTGCATCCATGTTTATTCCGAATAACAACACTTTTAACCTATATAATTTCTTTAATTCATATAATGAATTCCTTAAATCTTACAGAAAAAAATATCCATTAAATGTCCTATTACAAAGTAGTTTCAATTTTTATTCATAAACTAGATGATTCTTATGATTAGAATTTTAAATCATAAGATAATTTTTGTTTTAGAATATTGTACATTATTTGCAATTAAATTTATTGTTCAATGTAATGAATTTTAATATTTTTTTAATTTATTTTTCTTATTATTTGAAAGATTATTATTTAACTTATTAAACTTTTTTATATAATCCAAAATTTAATAAATTGTTATATTATCATGTGAACTTAACTTTATATTTACGTAACAAGTAATAACATAAATAAGAACTGAAATTTGAAATCATTATTATATGTAAAAAATAAGAAATGTATCTATCTTATTATTTTAATATTTAATATAGATGACATAATAAAAAAAAAATAAAATTTAAATATTTAAAAAATATTATTTTTACAAAACATTTGATTTTGGTTAGATCATGTTACAATAATAAAACGATCATAATTTTTTTTAAGAATAATCTTTATGTTTTTTTAATTTTACTTTTTTTTAATTCAGATACAATATATATATATATATATTTTTTGCATATGCAAATGCTATTGTTTAATATAATAAATTATTCTTTATGATCTGAAAAAAGTGAAGTTTTGAAAATTTTCGATTAATACAACATAATTTGATCTATGATTGAACCATAAATTTAAGAAGATCCAGGATTTTAAATAAAAATCGGAATAAACACATTAAGAAAAAAAAGTCCTTTCCGAATTAGTATTCTTTAGACAATAAATGGTTTTAACAAGTTGTTTTTATAAAAATAAAAATTATGTATGTTCTTAAAAACGTTCTTAATTAATTTTAATTTCTTGAGCACTCTGTTAAACAAAGAATTTCAATGCTAATTGTTACCAATATAAAATATAACATCCCTTAATTATTCTCTAAATTTGCAATTTTAAAATAAGTTTTTAAAAATCTAGGGAATTACAATTTCGAAATATATTTGACATCTTCTTTACAGGTAATTCATGGAGAATCAAACAGCTGATTTGTTTTATGGTAGAACACATGTCGTGGTAGGATGTTATAATATTACAGTATTTTTAATGTAAAGTAATGAAGTTTTAACAAAAAAAATTGATACTTATATATTAGAAAAAAGATATTGTTCATCTTTATTTGAATGTGCGATGAAAAAGAAAGAATTATAAGTTGTTTTAAAAAATTTTTGTCTAAGAAAAATGGCTGACCGTGATAGCGCATCTGAAAGCGATTCAAGCTCGATCGACGGAGGGCCGATAATGATGCCACCGTCTCCTGTAACTAGAGAACAACTTCAAAAAAGAATTGAGTCACTACAACAGCATAATCGTGTTCTTAAAGTTGAATTAGAAACATATAAATTAAGAGTAAAAGCATTGCAAGAAGAAAATCGTGGTCTTCGGCAAGCCTCTGTCATTATAGTAAGTTTCTTGTAGTATGCCTTATCAACTAAATAATAAATTTATTTATTAATTATAAATATTATTTGATTACAAAATATTTTATATTGACATATCTCATTATTCAATATTTAAAATATTTAATTTTAAGTTAAATTAAAAGAATTTATTCACTATAAAATATTTTTTATACAAAATTATGTCTTTTATTATGTTTTTTATTATATTTTATTTTTATTATAAATATTTTCCAATGTTATATATTATTTAAAATATTTATATTTTTATATGATTACATTTTAATTTTCTTTTTTTATTAATTTTCCATAATTTAGCAATATTCAATATTATTATTTCAATATTATTATATTAAGATTATTTAATATATTTATAAAATAATTTTAGATTTATTTATTTTTTTATTTATTTATTTTTATTTTTTTATTTAACATAAAAATAAATTATATGTATCATTTATAAATAAAGACAATCTTGAATAATGAATTTTTAATAATAATAAAATAATTTAATATTTGATTCTATATTATTTATATAAAATATATTTGAAAATTAAAATTTGAAAATTGTTTAATATAACTGGCTATTAACATATTGATAAAATTAATAATTATAATTATAAATATATAATTACAAATATATTTTTTATATCAAAGTTTTAAATTGGTTAATTTAAAAATGAAATTCATAATAATCTTTAATTTTCACATATTTTTATTTTAATAAATTGTGATAAGTTAAATATTTTATTATTTTATTAATTTTCTTGTTGAATTATATTATAGCAAGCTAAAGCTGAACAAGAAGAAGAATTTATAAGTAATACATTATTAAAAAAAATTCAAGCTCTTAAAAAAGAAAAAGAAACTTTGGCACATCATTATGAACAAGAAGAAGAGTGTTTAACAAATGATTTGTCCAGAAAGTTGAATCAATTGCGTCAAGAAAAATGTAGATTGGAACAAACTTTAGAACAAGAACAAGAATGTCTTGTGAATAAGTTAATGAGGAAAATAGAAAAACTTGAAGCTGAAACACTTGCAAAACAAAGCAATTTAGAACAGTTACGTAGAGAGAAAGTAGAACTTGAAAATACACTTGAACAAGAACAGGAAGCATTAGTAAATAAATTATGGAAAAGAATGGATAAATTGGAAGCTGAAAAACGAATGCTTCAAATAAAATTAGATCAACCTGTGTCAGATCCTGCTTCACCAAGAGAAATCAATAATGGTGATACTGCTACCAGTCTAAGTGCACATATTCAAACTTTAAGAAGTGAAGTAGCCAGATTAAGACATACCTTGTTTATTTCACAACAAGAACGTAAGAATTTTTATCATGTAATAATATGAATTTATTTGTAATAAATAATAAGTATGTTTTGAAATTTATATAAATACAATAATGTATTATATTTGCAACATTCAATTTAAATATGCTATTATATTGCAGTTTGCTAAATTATTTTAATTACAAAAAAGTAAGAAAAAAACATTTTATTTAAATATTTTCAAATCTTATTATTAATTTTTTAACATTTAATGTAGTATTAAAATATTGTAATATAGAATATTTAATTATCAATTAAAATGTTCTTTGTATAGCATTTAAAATATTATTAAATAAATAAAATATTGAAAATATTAAATTAAAAAATTATAATAAAAGAATAATTATAATTAAAAAAAATATAATTACATAAATATTATTTTAAAACATGTTATATACAATAAAATATATATTTTTTTTAGATACAGAAAAGATGCAACGATATGTAAATGAAGAAAAACAAATTCGTGAAGAAAATTTAAGACTTCAAAGAAAATTGCAATTGGAAGTAGAGCGTCGTGAAGCTTTATGTAGACATCTTTCAGAATCAGAATCTAGGTAAATAATTATATAAATTATATAAATAACTTAATTTGATATCAAACTTTATTTATTTGTTAGTTTGGAAATGGAAGAAGAACGGCACTACAATGAAATTGTGATGTCTGGTGGAAATATAAGAAATCGTACTGTTTCTAGCCCAGTACCATACAATCCTTCACCTAGTTCCTCTAGACCACTAAGTCCAGGTAATCATAATAATATAATAAAAATGAAACAAATTTATTATTTTTATGTATTATTAATATTTATATATCATTATGCAATATATCATTTATTACTTATATATATATATATATATATATATTTTATTAATATATATCAACACCATTTAGGTTCATCAACCAGAGAGGGATTTAATACAAATCGATGTTATGCTTGTGGACAACCTACTACAATTCCGTTTGCAAGTTCATCGCCTCCTTCCAGTGTAAGTTATATTTATTTTAAGTAGTTACTAATAATTAATATATATTAATTAATGTTATATATAGTTAATATATAGTTAATTAATGTATTACATAATATATTATATATAAAATATTAAAATTATATTAATCTGAAATAATAATTTTAAACAGGGTCACGTGGTAACCTCATCCAATAGACGCACATCAGATAGATTCATTAAACCTGCAATTCCACCAACTATTGTAAGTCCAAGTGGTCCACCAATTGCGGCTAATACAGCTACAAATACAATTGGTGGATCACCAATGGATATTACAAAAACATAAGTCAGTTGAATTCATCTAATAACAAATATTTCATCGTGTATTCGTATAAAGTACTTTTTTGTTGATGCATTTTTGCTATGTGATTGTATAACATACTTGAGAGTTATTTTTAAAAACATTTTGTTTTTTAACATTTCAGTCATTTTTTTCTGTTTTTATGATAATAGTATACTGCGCATAAATTAGTTTCAAAATACCCATAAAATTGAATATTTTACGAATTGTTCTGTATTTGGTATCAAGTCGCTTAAATCTTTCTTTAAATATATAAAATAGTATTTATAAAAAAAAAATTTAAAAAAAAGAAAAAAACAAAAAGAAATAACAAAAAAACAAAAATAATCATATATAAAAATTCTGAACTGCTTCAAATAGCCTAACAGAATGAAAATTAATGAGAAGATCGCTGTTCTAATTTCCTTTGCATTTTATTATTATTATTATAAATAACCTAATGCATTTTTTAAATCTTCAAAGTAGTAGTATGAAAAAAAATATTACTTTTTAATTTAAGTATATAGATAATAGAAATAAATATTTCTGTAGCGGTTACTATGTAACCTATTTAAATTTTAATATTTTTTCTTGTAATATTAGTTTTTATAATTTGATTATATGGCATAATATGGTGGATAATATAGTTTTCAAGTCGCATAACTATAATTTTGTATGATTAATATTTATAATGAAAATAGAAGAGCGAGAACGACATTTCAAATTAATATGCCTTAAAAAATATGCAATTATAAGTAAAAAAAAAGCGATTAACAAAGAAATAAAAAATGAAAATTTTTCAATTTTCTCAATTTTTTTTTTTTTTTTTTTTTTTTTTCTAAAAAATATTTTATTTTATAATATCTCAATTATGGTTCGTTTAATACTTTATATACAATCACATAATGTGAGTATTTCAAATATAAGCATTTGTATGTGTTTAAAATCAACAAAACTAATATTGTGATGATAACATCTACATGACATTGTTGCATTTAAATGCAATCATATGAAACATTTGAAAAAGAAAAATTATTATAATTAAATATATTTCAAATATTTTGTTATATTAATAATGTACAAGTATTTCAATTTAATAATGAATAATATTTAACTATTTAATTTGGTTTGGTAAACATACCATTATTTAATGCATATAATATTTGTTTTTTTTAAACTTTAATAATATTGATCTTTGACAAAATGGATATGTTTGTCAAATATTAAATTAATATATTTTGTGTGCCTTTTAATCACAAAATTTGCAATTTTGTAACATATGTCATGTATAATATATTTTCAATTGATATTTATATAAATGTGATAAAATATGACATAACAATCTTGCGCTATATTTTATAATAATTTAAACATTATTATTTACTACATTGGTGCTCAAAAAAACGTGAGATTTATGAATTTGTTATTAAAAATATGTTATGGACAATATTTTTTGTCCTTTGTTCAGTAATAAAGTAAAAGATATATAATTCACCTTTTAGTTAAAAAAAAAATTCTACCTTTGTATTATAGAACTTTCTATGATAAAATTTCTATGTGTAATATTTGAGTATCGTATATGTCACAATATTAAATTATAAAATCATTAAGAAAATGCAAATTAATACCACATAAAAGCTAATCTAAAATTATAAAATTATTGAGAATTAAATGGTAAATATTTACCTATGATAATAACAAAAATTAATACTTTTTTTATGCTTTATAAAATAGATGTTTCACGAATACTCTACATATGAATAAAACGTTGCTACATTATACGGAATAAATGTATTGTCACATATAAAAAAATTTTGTTAAAACATAAAATTATTACTCATTAATAGTTATACAGACATACTTCATTATTACGTATTATGTACTTTACTTAAGCTTTTATGAAATACAGTCACTTTTTTGCTATTATTTTTGTAAAATTTATTGATATCCTTATTAAAATAAAAATATATTAATAATTTAATAAAATACTTAAAAATATGACATTTATTTAAATATTTTAGCAAATACAATATATATAGCAAACATTATAATTATTTGCATAGCATATTAAGGAAGAAGTATAAATTTTATGTACATTTTTAAACTTGTTTTCATTCATATATTGACAATTTGAAAATCAAATTTTGTCATGAATGCTTATACATAAGGAATAATAATTTATTTATTGGAAAATTTTTATTATGTTACTTATAAAATCTAATTTTTTAAATTGTTAATTATGTCATACCATTTTTTTTACAAGTAGCCACAACTAATCTTGCAATTATTAACCACATAATCAAAGAAATAGAATCTTCATGGTAACATGGCCAGCTTAATAAACTTTGTATAGGCCATAGTATGCCTTTTGGTAAAATTATTACAGGTTTATTTGTATAAAAATATAGTAAAATCAACATTAATAAACCCTGAAAATATTATTCATATAAATTATTAAATATGTCAAATTATAATAAAAAATTATGTCAAATTATAAAACAAATAAATATTTATATTAACTTAAATACATACTTACATTTAATATACGAAAACCGTATGTTACAGATATTTGTATCTTTAGTCTGGAAGACAGTCTTTCATTTGCTAAATAATGAATATATTATTTTATAAGATAACATTTAACAATAAATAATAAAAAGAAATGCAAAATAAAACTAAAATTTGATGATATAATTATAATTTTATTATTTTATATTTCAATAATTATAAATTTAAAAAATTTTAATTCTTGATTTTAATTATCATAAAAAGTTAGAAGATATAAAATATATCTAATTTATTACTTATAATTCTATCAATAGTTAGATTTATCATTGATTTTTAATTTGTAATATTTTTAATATAATATTATTTTACCTTTTTCCTTTAATGTACTTTCTAATTTATTACATTTACGCTGAAGTTTTGCATATTTCGAAAATTCATCTACTATAGATATCCCAATCATTTCTTGTTTTAAATTAATCAAATCATTTCGTAATTCCATATCATGCTTATTTATTGTATATAAACGAGACGTAATCTATAATATGAATAATAATTTATAATAAATAATATAAAATAATTAAGAAATATAAATACAAAATATCATCAATACTTACATATTTAATTAAAGATGGGAAAATGTATTCTAAAAGACAACTTACAGTTGATATTATAAATAAATTCATTTTATATTTCCAACAAGATAAATCTCATATTTCTTATTGGATATTAATCAAAATATTAAATATCATCGGAAAATACCTTTCGATTTTTAATAAAAAAGGCTTTGGAGGTTACAACATTATATGACTACTTATGTTAACCTAAACATATGAAAAGATATATAATAGATGGACAACTTAATTATACTAGGGATAACTAATAACAAGTTTTTAAATTTTATTTAGTTGGCATGCTAAAATATTGATGTGGCATTTTCTTATTAAATTCTTATTTTGAATAACAGATTTATTTTTTTCTTAAATTCTTAAATCTCGAATGAATGATTTTCTTAACTTTTTTAATTTATTATAACTTAATATTTATTATATATAATATTAATTATTTATTAAATAAATTTATACACTTCAAATTCAAATAACAACTAAATTTATTAAATTTCTATATTTCTATTAAATAATAAATTAATATATTATATAAATATTATTTATCGTTTTGAAGGATTGATATAGAATTCTTAAAAAAAAAATATATATTTATTAAATATCATGAATATATTATAATTAAAATTTTATGCCAAAAATATTAAATAAGTTTACAATAGATTTATAAGTACATTTATAATATGTTAAAGAGGATATATAATAATATATTATTGGTATACTATTATTATATCTGTGTACAAAAATATAGTATGTTTTATTTCTATGTGATTTTGTTTCCTCTATGCTTACAATTCGTGATGTTTTCATCAGTGTTTTATGAAAAGTAGAACACGCGGTGTGATTAAATATGTTGAACTATTCAGAAATTTTAGATGATACAGAAAAAGATGTATCAGAATCTCATTCTAAACTTTTGGATGCTGTATTACAACTTGATAAAGGACAAAGGTTGCATATAATATCTATTATGTTACTTTTATTTTATATATATTACAGGATCTTATAACTATAACCATTTTATTTTAAATATCTTACTTTTAATAATAGAAAAAAATGTATACTGTTTTCAAAAGCAAATATTATTTGTTTCAAAGTAACAAATATTAATTTCAAGATTATATTTTATAAGATTTAAAGATTATCAATATTTAATAAAAATAGAAATTTAATAGAAATCATTCTGTTGTATTACAATTGCAGAAATATTCTATATTTATTTGTACATAATGTTGTAACTATATAGGATATAACAATCAAAATAAAAAAATTACAAGAAATGATTCTGTTAATTTTAAAATCTTGATAAAATATATTTTTAAATTTATCGTAGGATAAAAAAAGCAGAGAGAAGTGAACCTACACTAGAAGTATCAGAATTTCATTTAGTAAAAAGTGGAATATCTGATCGAGATACAATTCAAATACATGATTTAGCCAAAACATTAGGGAAAAAAGGTCATCATCTTGAAATTACTAAAAGTTTACAAGATATAAAAAAAAAAATACATGTTTTATCAAAACCATTGGAGAAACCAGTAGCTGATAAAGTAAAGATTTTTTTATTATATATTGTATAATTAAAATATTCATATAATATTTTATATAAATTTTTTATAAGTAATGTATTAAAATATGTTTTAAATAGTCTTTATATTGATTAATCTTTAGATTAAAAGAATAGTTGGTTTTAAAAATACAAAACAAGAATTAAAAAAAATGGAATGCTGTAATAACAAAGAACAGAACAGCAGAATCACTTCAGTTTCCTTTAAATCAATCATCAATGAAATTAGAACCTTCTAAGGAATTTGTTAAAAGATTTAGACTTCAATCAGATTTAGAGAAAGAGCTTGCTGCATTAGAACCAGAAAAAGAAAATATTGAACAAAAAAAAGATAGATTTTCTTTGACATTAAAGGAATTATTATGAAAAGAAAAGAAGCTGCTAGAATTAGAGCACAACAGGTTTATATTAAAAACTTAAAATATTAATATAGTTTAATTATTATTTATTATATATTTATTATATATATTAATATATTTAATTATTATTATACATTATATATTATATATTAATTTTTTATAGTCTTATAAAGAAGCAAAAGCTCATCGTCAAAGTAAAATTAAAAGTAAAAAGTTTCATCGTGTTCAAAAAAAAGAAAAAATAAAATTACAATTAAAAGAATTTGAAGAATTAAAAAAAACCAATCCTGAAGCTGCATTGGAAAAACTGGAACAATTGGATAGAATTAGAGCAGAAGAACGAATGTCATTAAAACATAGAAATACAGGAAAGTGGGCTAAATATATGCAAATTAGAGCAAAATATAATAAAGCAGTAAGTATTTTATATAAATCTAAATAAATTTTTTAAAATGAAAAGAAATCTTTATTATGATTTTTATTATTTATTATAAATATATCTTATTATAAATAAGATTTTCTTTAATGAAATTAAATTAATTATAAAATTTAAAAAGAGTTTTATTATCTTTTTTTTATATATGATATGATGATTTTTTATTATATGATAAATATTTTAATTGAAATATTTTATATATTTATACACACTAAATGTTTTTATGAAAGAAAAAACAGATAAAATAGAATATTATATTTGAATATTTATATTGTAAATATTCATCAGGTATTCAATCTAATTGCAATCTATTGCATTAATAATTTACTTTTAATGTTATTAGACTCGACAAGAACTTGCACAACAGTTATCAATTAGTCGAGATTTAACTCAAAAGTTAAAAAATCCAAATGATAGTGATGAAGAAGATGAAGGAGATAGTTCATCTATACAATTTTTAGTTAATGATAAAGAAAATCCATGGATGAATCATATCAAAACTGAATCAGAAATTGATGAATTTGTTAAAAGTTATCGAAAATATTGGGATAATCAAAATAATGAATTACAGAAAAAAGATTTAAACATCAATACTAAAGTTACAAAGAACAATAAAGAAATGAATAATTTATCCAAAGATAAACAATTTTGTAATGGTATGTTTAAAAAAGTAATAATAAAAATTATTAATATAAGAATTGTAAGTTTTATTATTAAAATCTGTTTTATAGAAAAAGAAAACAAAAGTATTGATACTACTAAGGATTTTTTTAAAAACCGAGATAATGAAAATGTACCAGAAAACTTGAATAAGCAGATAATTTCAGTAATAACTGAAACAAATTCTAATTTAAAAAGTATATTTGTATATATTATATTTTGAGTAACAAATACAAAATTAATTAATTCTTTTTCTTTTTTTTTAGTTGATAACAATACATGCAATGTGCAATCATTTGAAATTGACAATCACAAGGAAAATTTAATAATGACGGAGGAATTTAATATTGAAAATATAAATGATATAAATAACTCATACAATAAAATCACAGAAAAAGTTATATTAAATAATAATAAAAGATCTAAGACAAAAATTGAATTACCAAAAACACATTTTTCAAATAAAGTTATAGCTACTTCTAGTTGGAATGTGGAATCTATAGAAAATACTACAATAAAAAATGTCAATTCCTTGTCATCTAATTCATTAAATAAAGAAAAAATAAATAAAATATTTGATTCCTTGGAAGAAAAAATTCAAGATCAAATTGAATCTAAACTTCAATGTGTTACTCAGAATTATGACAAAGTTGAAAAAAAAAAAGAAAATATAAAAATATTGAATTTGAAGAAGATAATTTTGATGGTCTTGAAATTCAAACAAAAAAACAAAAACCAATTCTAGATTCAAGTTTATATGAAACTGTCAATAAGAATAATTTGGAATTGAATACTGAATTAGAAAAACTTAAAAACATAAAATTTGATAACACTTTATCTATAGATAAATCAAATAAAATAGAAATAGATCCAAATAAGTACATGAATATAAAACCTAAACATCTAAATACAGATCTTCCAATTGATATTACTGGTGGTAATGATGTTTTGGATGATAGTGAAAATGATGAAGAAAGGCGTAATATAGTAAGTGAAGCATTTGCAGATGATGACGTTATAGAAGAGTTCAGAAAAGAAAAAGAAGAAGAGGTAAGTAAAAAAATTATTGCAATTTTTTTTTCCAAATCATTTTTATAAAATATAATATTAAATTTATATGCAGGTGAAAAAATCTCAACCTAAAGATATCGATTTAACATTACCAGGATGGGGTTGTTGGGGTGGAAAAAATATTAAGGTTTCAAAACGTAAAAAAAGACGTTTTATTTTGAAAGTACCGAAAGATTTACCTCGAAAAGATGAAAATAAGGGTGATGTAATAATATTAGAACAAGATAATCCTAAAATAAAAGAGCATCAGATTAATGAATTGCCATATCCATTTACAAGTGTTAAAGATTATGAAGCTAGTGTTAGAATGCCAATTGGAAGAAATTTTGTATCTGAAAATGCTCATAGAAAATTAATTGAGCCTGCTATTAAAACACGTATAGGAAAAATTATTGAACCAATGAATGAAAATGTTTTAGTTAAAAAAATTAATGAAAAAAATCGAAAATTTATTTCTAAGAAAATAAATATAATAAATAATAAGAAAAAAAATAAAATAAATCAAGAAATAAATTGAAATAATTATAATGTATAAATTTTTTATGTAGAAATATTCAAATTTGTTCATAAAATCATATATTATGTATGTAATAATAATTTTATATTTCTTCCTTGTTTATCATTTCTGACTAATTATTTATTGATTATGTAAATATTTTATCATTATAATTATATATAATAAATATAATAATTCACTATTATTTAAAAAAATAATGGAATATGATGAAAAATTAAATTCCTTCTTCATTATCATAATTTATATTTTAATTTCTATTCACAAATGATATGTTAAATATAAAACTGTAAAATGGAATCATATATATAATTTTATATATTATAGTTTATAATTATTTATAATTTATATAAGAAAAACTATTAGAATATAATTCTAAATTAATAAAATGAAAAATTATTAATACACATATAATTAAAATATAATTATTTAATGAAAGTAAAAAATAATATATAAATATATATGTAATAATATATAACTATATATTATTTTTTATTTTAATTTGCATTTATATTTTAATAAATAAAAATTTATATATAAATTATTTATCGAAAATTAAAGAATAAATGTACTTTAAATGGAATTTATTAATGCGCATGCGTCAAAAGTAATTTTCGATTGGTAGAGCAATGGATACACGCATCCATGATAGAGATAGTAGTTAAAAAAGAACGTAACGCAAAGGAGTAAGAAAAAGATAGAAAACGCCATCTTGCGCATGCAAAGAAGAGTGAGAGAGATAGAAACCACCGCCAATATGATTACTCGATCACTTGTTCTCAGTAGTAAAGCAAAGTTGGGTGAGAGGGTCGGTTTGTCGTATATTTGGAGCGAAACACAAACTCAAGAAAGAAATTTTTGTTTGTTTTCACATATATCGTAATTGTAAATAATATTTTGTGCCACCAAAGAATGGCAACTACCAAAGACGACAGCACCGATAGCGTGCAATTTTTTGAAGGAGTGGAGAAACTTCTTGAGATTTGGTTCACAAGCAGCAGCAGCATAAACAGAAAGCAGGGCGATCTTAGGCAGATTCCTCAGTAAGTTAAAACATGCTATCTCTCTCAGATTTAATCAATTATTTCTTCTGTTCGTAACTTAATTGACAATTATTTCTTAAAATTTATGTATAATTTATGCATAATATCATCGTAATTTATTGTATATCGTATAATATCAAGCTTTATAGTAATTTAATACAACTTTCATAATTTCTAATCATGTTTGAACATTAATTCATTTATGAGTATATATTGAAATTTAAAGTATCATAAGTATTAAAAATTAATCAATGACATATAATTTAAAATAAATAAATATCTTAATAAAATAAAACCGGTCTCTCAAACATGACTGTACTGCCGGTACCTTGTGGTGTAGTCATGATAATTGTTAGTACGCTTAACCTAACATTCTTTTGAGAATTAGTTTTTTTAATATTTATGATTATTCTAAAAAGGAAAGATTAATTTCGAATATTTGATAAATCATATTATTATGATTTTAATTTAATTCATATATTGTTTAATTAAAAAAAATGATTTTGTTGGAAAATTTTTCTGACGACGCACTACTTTGAATGCATTGAATCGTATAATAGTGTATATATCGTATTTTTTGGCGAAGATCGATGCGCCCACCTTCTTGTTCCAGTAATACCGACCGCTTAAAGCGAGACTACGAGACTCTGATATGTATATACATATATTACTTTATCTCCTTATTTTAATTGAATATAAATAGACATAAGCACCGATGCGATCTTCCTTTTTTCTAAGATCTTACTACATCTAGATTGAATCATTGTTTGAAAAAAAGTAATTTGTAAATTTAAATTCCTTCATTAAATATAATTTTCTTCATTTTTAAAATCGAATATAAATTAGTGTAACATTTTGCATAATATATGCTATTTTTTAAAAAATCACTACATGCAAATAATGTTAAACGATTATTATTATTATTATTAACAAACAAAAAATTTTAAAATTATATAAAATTGTTATTATCATTGTATGATATATAAAAATTACTTTTAAAATTTCATTTAAAAAAATTATTAATAAGAATAGAAGAATAAAATTATTTACGGTTATTATAATAATGATCAATTTTTTAATAGGAAAAAAAACAAAACTTTATAGATAGAAATATAATATTTAAAATATTGTTTTTTATCTTTTATTTTATGATTTTATATTCTGATAAAAAATTAAAATATATAAGATTTTTATTAATGACATTTTATACATTATTGATTTACATAGTACTTTCGAGAAACGTACTACTACATATATAGTTATATAGGATATATTTGTATAATTTATATAATAATTTATATAAAAAAAATAAATATATAAGTGTATTTTCATACTAATTGATCAAATATTCAAATATTTAAAATTTATATTTTTATTTTCCTAAATTATGTATGTACATACCTGTATATGTATCTGAAAAGTATTCTGAAAAGTAAATACAAATTACAGGAATATTAAAATTATTGAATATTATTATTATTGAATATTATAATATTTAAATATTATTATTATTATTATATTAAATATTTATTATTAGTATTTTATTGTTATTATTATTATTATTATTCGTTTCGAATTCTATACAATAATTTTAAATACAATAATTATAAATTATTTAATAAATAATATGAAATATTGCATATTATTTATATTAAATACTATTATTATTATTTGAAAAATGTTTCTCAATATGACTTATTATGTACCTTCCCGTAGAGGAAGGTAAGCGCGCCATTTATGAATTACAAAACAACGATATAATCGAAGCAATAAATATAATAATAAAATAAATAATTAATTTCTACAATGATATTCTACTATGTTTTAACATTTATTTTAACAAAAATTTATAAAAAGGAACGAATAAAAGAACACTAATCATTTTAATTTTTATAATAATTTATAATAATATAATATAAATATAATATAAATTATATATAATTATATATAAATATAATATAAATATAATATAATATTATATAATATAATATAAATTATAATTTTATATTAAATTAATTTTAAAATAATTAATTTAATTAAAATTTAGTATTATCACACAATCATACTCTTCAATATTCAACTTTGCATTTGAATAGTTTGGATGATGTAATCATTTATTTTATTAATTTATTAGAAATTATTATTAGAATTCATTATAGAAATTTGATTTATTTTCTTGAAATACTTAAAATATAATTTTGATGTACATATATAAATGTTTTAATATTTCAAAAAAAAAATTTTGTACAAATTTTTAATTGATTATATAATAATCAATTAAAAAATATTGTTCCTTTTCGATAGAAAAAATTATGATTATAAATTTTATCATAAAATTATGTTTATCACATTTTATATATTATATATTTATTTAAGAAAAAACAAAAAAGTTTTATATATAAATGGAAATTTAAAATTTAATGTGATAGAAATTATATGTATTGTATATTTTAATATATTAATATTAATAATTATTATTAATATTCTTAAGTAATATATTCAATATCATTCAATAAATGTGAATATATCAAGTAAAAATTGTCTCGGATAATTCAACATTATTAAGAAATATAACAGGATTTTTTTAGGGAATGATAAGTGTAAAATATAAATAGATAAAATTGAAAAGAGGAAGAATATTTTATCATTTTTAACACGTGTACAGTACATGTATTTTATTAGTATTTATCATTTGGATATTTGTCGTGTGAAATATGCTAGTAATAGAAACATTTGAATATTAAAATATTAATTAAAGTTTGTTACATAGTACAATTTTTTTCTAACTTCATCTGAAACAACTTGAACTCAGTTATTTTGTATATAGGATATATAAGGTATGTAAACTCACTTTATGTACCGAGTGGTCCATTTTGTATACAGGATGATTCAATTTGTTTATCGGATGATTCATTTTGTATACAGGATGATTCAATTTGTATATCAGGTGATTCATTTTGTGTACAGAATGATTCAATTCGTATAACGAATGATTTATTTTGTATATAGAATACTCTAGGAAAATTAATATAAACGAGTTAAGAGTTAAAAAAAAAAAAAAAAGATAACAATAATTAAAATTATTGTTTGAAACTTCGTTTCCGAATATAAGACGAAAAACATAAATTTTATTCTTTTTTTTTTTGATTTGTTTTGTATATCAAATTATTAACTCATTATTTGATTTTATTACATTTTATTACTGATTTTATTACTTTAAATTAATTTATCCTAAAATACATATTAATCGATATGATACTTTATTTCGTTAGATAATATAAATTTTAACATTATTTTAACATTTTAACATTTACATTTTTAATTTTAATATTTTAACATTAGATAATATAAATTAATATAAATTTAGATTTGATCAAATATTAAAAATAAAATTAATTTTTGTTTTAATTTGTTTTAATTTTAATTTATATTTTTAATTTTTTTATATAAATTGAGTTTATCGATATTTGAAATACTTTAAAGTATATATATATATATATATTTTAAATAAATAAATTAATTTTATCATATAAATATTTTTATGATTTTTAAGGATTAATAAGTTGAATTATTATTTATTGATAGTATATATATATTTATATATTATATAATAATATTATATATATATTATATATATATATATATATATATATATATTATGAATATAAATGTTTATAAATTAAATAAATATTTTTTGTAAAATAACTAATTGTAATTGTGAAGAACTAATTGTAAAGAATAATAAAAAGAATGATATATTTTATAAACGATATATGTATATTTTTTGTATATTAATTGATATTAATCAAAGTTAATATTTTGTTTCAGATGGAAGTGGCAATCATTATTAAAAATCGTTCGTTGTGAGATTATCAGCATTTGTCGTACCGAGCATGTAGATGCTTATGTTCTCAGGTACATATTTAAACTTTACATAAATATTTAATATCTTTAATATTATTTTATTTTATTTTAATGTAAATATTGTATGTATTATGCATACATTGGTTATTAATAATTAATAATTAATCTGTCTAAATATCTATAGAAAATACAGAAAAAAATTTGAGATGAAAATTATGAAAAAAACGAAATAATAGATTATACTTTTATTTAACTTAATAATGACTGAAGTCCTGTAAATATTAACATTACATTTTTAAGTTAAAATGTAGATTAATAATTAGATAAATATACTTCCATCTTGTATGTTTGAAGAAAAAATCGTACAAGAGATAAATAAATATTTCATAATTGGTATTTCATAATTATCTTTTTAGCTAAAATTATCTTTAATAAAAAATATCAATTCTCTTGAAAAGTTTAATATATAGTGTTTTATAATAAATGTAAACATGTGTTAAATAAATGTAAACATTATTGGTTTCCTTTTATAATTTATATCTTTATATAAAACATTTTTCTGTATTTATATATTTTTCAAAATATTTGCTTATGAAAATTAAAATGATAAAAAATAAGAATTTAAAATTTTAAAGGCTTAATTTGATAAATGAAAAATAATTATTTGACATAAAATTTTTAATTTTATTATTATTTTGTATTTTAAAGATTTCTTGAAAACAAATATATATATTAAAAATAAAGTATATGATAATATATGATATATTAAAAATATAGGAATTATTGATATATATTTAAATATTTTCTTAGATTAATTATATCTCTTTATTCTATTTTTTTTTTAATTGCATTATTTTTATGATAAGATCATTTTTTCGAACTTTTAATTCTTCATCCAGGGTTTACTTTGATTTACGTTCCCAGAAACTCATCAAATTCCATAATATATAATATAATGATCCAATATATGTAATGAATAATCTAAGCTGTCAATTGTTTTTGCTATAACTGATAAGGTAATCTTTATACTTTAAAATGCATTCCTTGATTAGTTCTCAGTATTATATCTTGAGAGAAAGACTAAAGCAGCTAGAATAATTGTTATTACATATTTTCATCTTTTTCTGATATTTATTATAAGTTTTTCCTAATGGAATTAATGAAATTTCTTTTACATCTTTTTGTTATTTTTTTTATACAGTTTTGTATATGTTTTTATTCTAATAAAAATATAATATAATTAATTCTGAAGAAATGATATAACATAAAAATTGTAATATTTTTACATTTTTTTTTTCATATCACATAACTTTTATTACTTATATATTACTTATTATATATTTTATTATTTATATTATTTCCACAATTTATAGTATTTCAAAATATTATAATATTATAGTATATTTATATAATATAATATTACAATTTATTGAAAATTTATAGAATTTTATTATAATTATTTATAATTATTATAATTAATTATTATATATTTTCATTGAAAAATTATTTTTTACTATAAAACAAGAATTATAAATATACAGAAAAATTTTTAGAAGAAAGATAGATCTATTCTGTCCAGATATAGTATAGTAGTATCAATTGATATAGTATCAATTGACATAGAGTTAAAAACAATTTTAAAAAATTTTTTTTAGTAAATTTTATAAATTAAATATCAATTTCGTGTTATTAGGCATTGTTTACCTAGGAAAATAATAATAAATGATGTTATTATAGAATGTGTTATTGATTTTTCTGAAAAATAATTAGTAGATTCACTTTAAAAATTTTTAAGGGATATTGATCTATACAATGATACACATGATTAAATAATCACATAATGATCGAAATACATGTAAAGATATAAAAGAAAGAAAAAAGATATAAAAGAATTAATTATTAAATTTATTAAAAAAGAATATTATTTATTTAAAGTGCTAAGATTTATAATATATAATGTTTTAAATATTATGCTAAAAGTCTATTAAATAACAAATTACTTGTAAATCAGAAATAAAAAGAAAATATCATTATGTAATTTCATTTTTAGGCACAATTTTGGGCACAATTTTATTTATCATTTAAAAAAAGAAGTTCAAATCTCGATATCGATAAAATCTAAATTCTTAAATTTGCAATTGAAATGATTTTTGGTTTTTTATAAATAAACTAATGTATAATTCAGATCTTTACATTTTTTCTAAATAATTAAACATTTTTAATTATTTATATAAAAAAAAATATATATGAATGAGTAAAATTTCACTTTTCAATACATAAAATTAAAATATATAAAGAAAAAGCAATTTTAGAAACGATTAATCATCTATGTTTTGAATTGAATTTCAAACTTATTTTTTATTATTTAAACAAAATTTATAATCAAAAATTATTTTATTAATTTCAAAAAATATTGTCTAAAACACGATGTAAAATATTATTTTAACTCTACAGATCTATATATTTGAATGAGCAAGTCATAGAGAAATATTTCTTAATCAACTATTCATTGAAAAATTATAGCTAAATTGAGGAAAATGATCATATAAATGTATATTATCGTAATTTTAACTGTTACTTCTTTCAATATATATTTTTTTAAATTATGAATTAATTTAAATTAATTCAAGCTTTTTAATATTAAAAATTAATATTTTAATATTTTAATTGTAAATAAAAATATTTATGAAAAAATTTATATCATATTTTTTTTATTTTTATGAATTATAACTTATATAATATATTAAAATATATATTAAATAAATAAATGGTTGATTCATATTTTATATATATATATTTATGATGTGATTATTAAATTATGTATTATTATATATATTATTCTTTTTTAATATTATGTTATTAATTATGTATTATAAACATTATTAATCATCATGTTTAAATTATCTAATATTTCATGTAATCTAATTATTCTTCAAAATTAAATAAATAATAATGGCTTTATATAATATAAATTGTTATGCAATTATTTTTCGAATTATTAATTTTATTTTTTTATATATTTTGTTTTTTATCGACTTAAATTTAACTAAATATAACATAAAAGACGTTTGTAACAAGATAAGAGGTCTATTCATTAGAGACATTTTTAATATTTTATTAATTAAAAGGAATTTGAAGAGATTTAACATTTAAAATGAACTTTTTTTTTTTAATATATCATTATTCATTTTTTGATTAAATTCCAATTCGATATTTGATTATTTTATTTATTTATATTATATTGAAATAGAAATTGATTATTATGATCATTGATTTGTTACCAGATTCGTTTTCAGGAAAAGATTAATCGCTTCCTTTTAATTATCATATCTTATATTGATATGAAAATTGAACTTTTATCATATCATGTTTATAACGTGTGCTTATGAATGAAAATTTTTTAACAATTATGATAAAATTATAATTAATTTTATTTGTAGAAATAAGAAAAAAATCTCCATTATTTTATTTTAAATTTTTATAAAAATTTAAAGTATATATTTTTTTTAAGCAGTAACTGTCAATCTGCTGTTTGATAAATTTTATTTCATTTATTATTTTTTTTTAACAGCTTTTCCGCATTGCACAATGTTAACATGCATTGTATGTATATATGCATGTATATATGTATACGAAAGAAAGAGAAAGAGATTGCATTTCCGACATTAAAATTGAATATGAATTGGTTTACTTTATTACAAAGTAACGTAACCCATAAGCACAAAGATTAAATATTTCTCTAATTGATAATGCGTATCGTAAACATTCAATCTATTTACTCAGCTTTTTTTTTTATTCAACTCAACTTTTTTAACTCAAATTTTTATCGATTCACAAATTTTCTGTTCAAACATGGTATAATAAAATTTTATTCTAATATAAATGTACAGATTTTAACATTAACTTAACATTATTTATATATTATTTATATATATAATAATATTGGCATGTTTAATAAAACACATATTTTTTTACAAACTCATCATTACAAAATTTTTTCAAACTCAATTATTTAATATAAAATGCTATAAATTATCAAAGATTAAATTAATTGTAATGAATTCTATAAGATATTTTTATTTTATAAAATAAATCAAATAAAATTTTATTAAATTTCAATTTTTTATATTTTATAATTTAAATAATATATCCTAAAAAGTGATCTCTGGAAAAAACTATGAGAAATAATGTCGCAAATATTACATTGTGGAAAAAATTTAGGGGTTCACAAAAGAATCAGTATTTTAAACAATTATATTTACATTTTATCATATTTAAATCAATATCAAAATTATCTTGTCTCTACTGTACTGTACATTGTTAGCTTATTATAATGTTTCATTTTATTAATAAAATAACTCATATATTTCATTTATTATGCACTTTTACTCAGAAAATCTAGGGTCAATGGGGTCTATATGAAATATCAATGATAACCCGTAAATCATATTTAGTAAATTCTAGAAGAAATTGCGATATTTAATTTAGTTTTAGGAAAGTTATACAAGCGTCCATAATGAATTTAGAAAATCGTATTTTTATAAAGATACGACTTAATCAGACATTACCTATTTAAAGAGTTTATTAATTAAATTCATTTCTAAATGATAAATATTAAATATATATTTTTAATAAATTATATATATCTTTATAGTTGATATATTAAAGATTTTACGAAATGTTAATAAGCATATTTTGACTTACTTAATCTTTACATCTAATACTATCTAGATCTGAAACTAAAAATAATTTTACAGTGGAAGCCAAGTAAATGTCTTTTAATAATCTTCATTCTTTGATAACCTTCAACTTTATTATTTATATTAAAAATTTTCATCAAAAAAGAGCAAAATTTAATTTCAATAAAATACTTCAAATTTTTTTAAATACATTATTATATGTAATATTATTTTTGCAATTTTTTTTCTTTATTTTTATTAGTATTTTTAAGATTATATCTAAGCTTTAACATTTATTCTTTAAAATTATATTTAATAAAAAAGAATAATAAATTTATAATAATTTTAAGCATTGTTAAACACGTGTTTCTGTCGTCATTGCTCTTCTAAAATATTGATTAACGACGATGATGTCATATGATAAAATATAATAATGTAAATTTTGTAATGTAATCCGAAATATTTCCTCATAAGAGAAGATCTAAACAAATGTTTATAATTGATAAATAATAAATATTTAAATAGTTTCATATTGATATATGAAACTATTATATTTCTTTTTAACAACGTCTTAAAATGTCTTAAAAATTCTAGTATCTAATTGAAAATTGTTTATTTTTATTAAAATATATAAACAAAAATATTATATTATTTCATTTTTTATATAAATATTGATATAAAATAAATACATAAACAATAAATATACTAAATAATAATTATGAGATATCAAAGAATATAGATAATGTTGATATATTTATTTGATTTTATGATAATCTTAAAAATTTTTGCTAAAATGGTTAAATATCAACATTTTTTCTTTTTGATATCCTATAATTATCTGTGGTATTTATTTTGTTTGTATATTTATTGCATATATAGTGAATATATTATTAATTTTTTAAATATGTTTATTTTGTATATTTAATATTAATACAAAATTATAAGAATATAAATTACTTTACAGTGAAAGCAGCATGTTCCTATCAAAACGTAGACTTATTTTGAAAACATGTGGTACAACTACTCCTCTTCAATGTTTGGAGCCTCTTTTGGAACTCATAAAAGAATATACTGGCTTTGAAGAAGTAGAGGTATAAAACTTTTTTTATATTTTTTATTATTAATATATCAAAATATTTAAAATGTTTTTTAATAAATTATATTAATTATAATTATAATAATTATTTATGAAATTAATTATTTATCTAACATTTTAATATTGAATAAGTATATTTAATGTAAATAATTAATTATATAAAATTTAAAATGAAATATCTAAAAGACAATTATGAAAATCTTTTTTTTATAAATCATATATTAAAAATTATTATATTTATCAATTATAATATTAATTATAATATTAATAATAAACATCTATTATATATTAAAATATGAATATCTTTTGAGAATATAATATTTTTTATAATAATTATTATTTATTACAAACAAATTAAAGTTAAAAGTACTTAGCTATATAACTTGACCTAGTACATGGATAAGTGTCTATATATAGGAAACCTCTAATATACAGGATACATCTCTACCTCTTGGTTTATTGATCTTTCCTACTCATGATATAGTACATGAAAATATATTTGTTCAAATTATCTCTAATTTAATGTTTCTTGTCTTGTAATATCTCTGAATATATATTGTAATTAGTTTTATTTCATTATTATATAATAATTAAATTTTTAATTGCTTTCTCAATCAAATTCAGGAAAAAATTAAAATACAAAAAATTATAATTCTTTCAGAATGTATTTTATTCAAGAAAAAATTACAAGAAGCCAGAATTGCAAATATCTCCGCATCAAGCATTTGAAGAAGAAGTTGGTTTACTTGATACATTTTTTCCAGGTAATAATTTTTTTTATATATATTTATATATTTAGATTTCTAAATAATATTTGAAATAGATATTGTATAATGAATAATTTTAGGGAAAAAAACTTAAAAAAAATTTAATTTGCTGTGTTTCTTTTCTAGGTGGAGAAGCCTATTGTTTAGGTTCTGTAGATTCAGATTGTTGGTATTTATATACTTTGAATAAAGAAAAGTCTGTTGATGAACCCTCAGAACCAGATCAAACCTTAGAAATCTTAATGACTCATTTAGATCCAGAAATAATGGCTCTTTTCACTAGAGATGTATGCTCGTCTGCAGATGAAGCAACTCAAAAATCAGGAATTGACAAACTTATACCAAATATGATTATTGATGATTTTTTATTTGAACCTTGTGGATATTCAATGAATGGAGTATCTAAAAATGTAAGTATTCTTCATAGAAAATATGTGTAATCTTATATGTAAAATAAACACACAAATAAATATTTACTAAGTAAATATTATTTTTATAGGGAAATTATATGACTATTCATATCACACCAGAACCAGAGTTTTCATATGTCTCATTTGAGAGTAACATTCCAGAAGCATCATATGAGGAAATAATACGACGTGTATTGAACACTTTTAAACCAAAAAAATTTGTTGTAACCGTCTTTGCTAACAAAGAATCAATAGCTGCTAGTTGTCCGCGTGACTTAGAACAAACTGATTTTCTAAAATGTTCTGGTGATTGGCTACGTACAGATGTACAATATTGTCGTTTCAAGAATTATGATTTGACTTGTGCATTTTATTCAAGATTCCCAAGCTGAGGGTTCATGGACGCTTCATTCGGACCTAATGAATCAGGGACAAATGAAGCGCTTATTAATAATTCTACTTTTTCGCAAACTTCTTTTTCTTTTTCTAATTCCATAAATGAAAAAAACAAATTTAATCAATCTATAAAACATATATTAAAACCTACAAATATTTACAAAAAACATAATCTTGTATCTACTCAATATATAAAACATAATAATGAAACAAATCTTAATGAATGCACTATTACACAAAATTCTATAATTACCCGAGGAAAGAATGTTACAACATCCACAATTCCACTAATTACATCCACGCCACAATCCATTAATCCTGATGTGTCTATAGAAGATAAATATTTAAATAGAAAAAGTAACGATTGTCATCCTTTGCAGAATTATATGGATATTAATAGAGGTACTAATTCTTATTCTCTACGATCAGTATCATCACCACAGTTAACAATTAAACCCCTTACACGATCTAAAGTTTATAGGAAAACATCTTTAAAATCAATGAATTTATCAAATTCTATGTTAGATCATAATATATCTAATCATCGTAAAAGTAATTTTTTGACGAGTTCGGAAAATCGTATAATTAATATTTCTAATTGTTCTATAGCTTCCACAGATAAAAAAGTACATTTTTCTTGTATTTCGGAATTAACTCAAGAAAATAATTCGACTGATACAAAAAATAAGTGGAATATGGGAGAAGTACATATTACTTGTAATCCACTTTCAACACCATATCCATATTCCACACCCCATCATAATATTATAAGTGAAACTGTAACAGAATCGCTAGATGATGAACCAAAAAGTCGAAGTTGCGGAAATTTTTTGCCAATTTTATCATTGATTCCACAAACAGTAATCAGTTTTCAATATTTAAGCCCGAAAATGAAATTTTCATGGTGGAGAAACAAAATCTCGTGAAGGTACGCTTAAGTAGACCATTTAGCGCAATTGTTGCTAGTGGTCTTATAGCACAATTAAATGCTATTTGGTCAAGCTCTATGAAAACCTCTTACCTCGTAGTTAGTTTCCAATCTTCATCAATTAGAGGTATCCTATCATCGCTATATTTAAATGTCAGCCTATACCTCTTTATTATTATAAATAAAATCATATTGAAAGAATGCATGCAAATAGATTTTAAAAGCATAAATAGTTCTTTCATTCTATGGAAACGTTTTGCACAATGTACAACAACTTTGAATTCTTTCAAAACAATATTGTACATTACGTTTCTATTGGATCCTCTAGTCCATGAAGTTTTTCCTACATTTATTAATTTATAGGTAGAATAAAACATAAAATATCCTTGTTCCATGTGAAAAATTCTCTTATAAGCTCTAGTTAAACAATATTTCTTGTAGGAATTCATTTTAGAAAAACCGAAATAGATCATACTACAATACTACAGGATTTAGTTTCAAATGAAATATATCAGTAATATCGGAATTCTCTTAAATTTATTTCTATTATAAATCATTTTTTCAGATAAAAGGATATCTATTTTAAATAAAATTCTTTAAAAATTATTTTCTAATTAAAAAATAATTATCAATTTAAATATACTTTTTCTATTTATATTTATAAATATAAATATGAAACAAATAACTTTTTTATTTCGATGTATTATTTCTAAAAAAATTTATTGATTCATACAAGTATCTATAGAAGACTTGTTAAACTTTTAATGTTGTATTTCATCAGAGTATGATTAAAATATTCCACATGTGAATAACTACTATATGTGATATTATTAAAAATATGAAAAATAATACACCAGTTGGTGTTGTACAATGTTGGAAATTTAGATTAGACCTTTGTAAACCTGATATAGATTTCCTTACTAAATTAATAATCATTCTATGAAATGGAAAGAGCATTAAACTAGTTAAATTACTATGATTAATTAAATCATTCCTATATGCGTGTGTGTAAAATATGTATGAGCGATGTATGTATATATGACAAATATTTCTTCTAAAATTTTTATTTTTCTGTGAGAAATATTTATATCAACCTAAAGAAACAACCATATTTCTAAAAAGTTGATTAAAATTTAACTTTTGTTAAATTTAATTTTTTGAATATTCAAGTTTTTATAAAAAGAATTTATATTTTGTTATTTTTTCCTCTGCTTGATTTTCAATATTTCCTGTATAAAATCAGTTGTAAAAGTTATATTTGATTATACTATTTATTTTATTTGTCAACAAATAAATAGGTTTTATAAGTATCTATATTCTGTTAAATTTTATTTTATAATATTCCAAAAAATATTTTAAAATTAACAATAATTATAATTTTATAATTAAATTTAATTATAATTTTATAGTTAAATATATATAGTAAAGTATAAAAATATTTCAGTTTTCAAAGAGAAAGAGAGAGACAATAAGAATTATCTAAAAATTTTATTTCACATACTTACGAGATGTTTTAATTTTATAAATGTACTAATAGTAACAATTTAACATCCTTTAAAAACAAATATAATAATCTTTAATCATGAATGAAAATATAAAATTTATACTATATTTATTTCTTATTTTATGAATGTATATACATATATGTGTATACATATATATAAAATATTTCATTTAAATTGCATAATTTATAAAAAATTTATTTTGTTTAAAAGTAATGAAGAATCTGCACTTTTTACAATACTAATCATCTAATAATATAAGTAAATAAATAATGTGGTAGGTAATATACATTAGTCCTATTATATGCTTTCTAAAATGTATTATCTTTTGCTATAGATTATTGTTGCATGTAAGATAACTTAATTTCTGTATTATATTCATAAAATAAAGATTATATTTAGTCAATTAATGATGTATAGAATTTATTTATTTTATTTAATATGTTATATTTCTTATCTCTTATTATAATGAGTATATCTAATTTAGTTATTATAAATTCTAATTAGAAATATAATGTTAGTAATAATTATTATTTTAAAAAATAAGATCTGTATCTATATTTGATAATAAGTAAAAAAATTTATAAATTTATTAAATTATATTACCAGCATTGACATATTCTTGTTTATTAAAATAAATTCCATTAAATGTTCCATTGAATTTTGAATGTAACTTATGCATATTTTTATATGTTAATTCTTCATGAAGCTTTTGTACTTCATAAGTTTCTATATCAAATTTATTTTGAATTTTGCTTAATGCTAATAATGAAAAATAGATATACATATCAGTACTAATTAATATAATTAGTTATATTAATATAATTAATAAAAAGTTATATTAATATAATTAATATAATAAGATTAAATAAGTAAAAGTTAAATTTTAATTTTCTTCATATTATAACTTTTAAATTTTAAATTTGTTACCTTTTTTCAAATCCATATCATTCATTTCTATATTACTGATTTTAGATAACTCATGTCTAAAATTGTCTGTTATTTTTTTTCGAATATAATCAGCTTCTATTTCTTGTTTAGTTCGTGGTACTCTGAATCTGATACAACAACAAAATCCAATTAATATACTAAGTAGAATAGAAAGGATTATGCCAGCAAGTTGCCAAACTCGAAACCCTGCTAGCGTTTCATCTTCCAACCATTTTTCAACTTCACCTCCAACACAATCTCCATATTGTATGACTATTTCATTAGGTGAACAAGGTGAAAAAGATGAAGATAAAGTTGATGCAATAGTTGATTCATTTATTATCTTCATAATTTAACTGAAAAGTTTGAATAAGTATTTAGAAATAATTTTAAAAGGAAATGTCATTATTAAATCATTGTTATAATTATTTTTTGTTTCATGATATTAATAACATAATTCATAAATATTTTATATATGTATAATTAAAAAATTAAATTTTAAGTATATCAAAAAATTAATACAAAATAATATAAAATTTGTTTCAAGACATTATTAAAACATAAAGAATTTTGTTTAAAAATTTATATTGATATCATATATATACACATTTTAACTCTAATAAATTGTTGTAGTAATTTATAATACTTACATATTAAAAGAAATATAATGAAATATATGTATCAACATTGAAGATTTAAAATTTTTTTCATTTAATTATAAAAATAATTAATACAATGAACTTTAAACAGAATGTGTATTTCTGTAGAAAAACGCGTATAACTGAAATTCTATGAGGCACATACTGTAGCTTCTATATCAGTGTTAAATAAAGAGGTGTGGTTATTAATGAACATCCCTATTTGGCACACCCTAGTTTTTACCTTAATCTTATTTTCCAATCCCTACATCCATTTGCTAATTACATACTAAAATTAAATTAATACTAATTTTCACAATAATTCAATATTTTCAATTAGTACAAACAAAGGATTGATAATTATATCACTTATGATATAGAATTAATACTTTTATTATATTACAATTATATGTTAATAAGAGAGACAATAAAATAGCTAATAAAAATAATTTATCAAAAAAAAAACATCTATGTTATTAAAAATACAAATGATACATCAATATATAATTTTATAAAATCCACGTTTCTTGTTATTTTAAACATTTTCGTTGTACGTGGAATTAAAAAAAAAAGATCATTTTTGTGAATTTATAAAGACAAAAAATTTAACGAAATAGAAATACAATTATGTATCTTTGATTTTAAAGATAGAATTAAAATTACATTTTATCGAGTAAAAACAAAACATAATTTTTAATTTTATTCACAAACAGACTATTCCCTGATTTTTTTGAAAATTTTATGCATTTTGATATTTAAAAAATTTCGATATAAAATGACTTTTCAATCATATGTTGCCGTGTACACATTTCGAGTGTATTTAGCAATATAGAGTTTTTTATAAAGAACATTATATTGTTCATAGATAATGAATGTCAAGGCTCAAAAATTGATAGTTTTTAAGTCATGTGATGAATTAGAATCTTTTGTTATAAACAATAACAAATTTTCTTGCCAGAAGATCAAAAAATTTCTAATAAATCTATAAGATAAATGAGAAATCATTTATCTTTTAAAACAATATAAGGAATATAATTTTATGTTTACACTCATTCCTTCCTAATGAACGTTCGACCCCTGTAAAATATAATTTTCAAATTTAATATCCTAATGTAACATATTAAAAAACAAATATTTTTAAAAAAACTTACGTGATAGTTTTTTTCTCAGTGTTTTTTGATTGAGATCTTGCTCTATTTAATATTTTTAAAAAATCTGTTGTTTTCGTACGCATTCTTGAGTGAATATAAACTTTACTATATTTAATATGATAATGTAAATAATTTCTAAACATATGTATTAAATCAATTGTATTATCACGAGCTTCTCTGTTTGTATGTCTTGGAAATAATACTGTAAAAAAAAAACATAAAAAAAAATTAATATGTAAAATTCATAAATTTTAATAAAGTAAAGTTTTTGTAATTTGTTTTTGTACTTTTTATATTTTTATAATTTTAACATAATTAAATTAATATTTACCAAATGTAATGTATCCAATGCAATCTCCAACAGCTGCCTCAGAATCTTGTAATTCTAATGGTGGTTCACGGTGATTAAATAAAACTTGTGGAGCTGTATGACTTGCACGTCTGCCCTCTTTCAATTCTTGTAAAAATAATTTTCCAATAACCATATCATCTTCATCTTTAAATATTGTGCTAAATACCACTGTTACTCTATCACTTTTGGCTTCAACATACCTTTATATAAAATATATATAAATTAAAAATAAAATTAAAAATATTACTTTCTTTTATTATTTTTATTATATATGTTGTAAAATGAAAGTACATTCTTACATTGTTTCTTCATCTCTATATTGAATAACTGCCCTTTTTTGCAATTGTGTACCTGGTGAATCATAATATTCTTCTTGAAAATCAAAATATTTTTCAAAAACACTAGCAAAACAATGCCTTTTTAAAAGTGCAATTTTTTTTAACTAATGATTCCCAATCTTCAGGCAAATTTTCCAAATCTATTAATACAGAAACATTATAACCTAATAAAAAAAATACCAAAATCTTATTAAATAATGTTTAAATAACATAATTAATAATTATTATTAATTTATTACATATTTCTTAAACTTAATTATATTGTTTACCATTTTCAGGAGCTATAAGATAAGGTCCATATTCACGTATAAGTAACTCATCAGCTCCATGTTCTTGCAATTGTTTATAAAATTTAAGTAAAATACTTATCTGTAATAAAATTAATACATATTATTTAAAAGAAAAAATATCAAATATGAATAAAAAAATATCAAATGAAGTTTTATTGTGAATTATTATTATTATAAATTTAAGTTTGATTAAGCAATAAAATAAATAAATAATAATTAATTAATTATATATTACTATTTTAAACTAATATATAATATTTTATATATTATTTATATATTATACATACATTATACATATATTATTTATACATACATTATTTTATACATTATGTTAAAAAATATACACAATAAAATCTTTCAGAACTTACTCTAATTTTTGACTTGTCACCACTTAAATTAGAAATATGAAATAAAACTCCATCAAAATCTGCTATAACAACATCTGTAGATTCTGGTTTATGACTACAAAAAAAATATATATTTTAATTATATTACATGTATTAAATGTATAGAATACAAAATTATTAATTAATAATGAAAATTAATTATATTTTAAACATAATAAATAAAATTATTTTATTTTTATTATTTTTTGTTTTCATAAATTTTTAATATTAATTATATATTTTTCATATTAAAATAATATTAAATAAATATTAAAGTAGATGATTAAATGCTGGAAAAACTATATTTTACATTAAACATTTTTTGATATAATGTAAGTAGATTTAAATTTTTAATTATTTTTTTTTTAATTTATATATATAATATATATATAAATATTGAATATCCTATTAAAATAAACGTCACTAATATTTGAAATGGACACCGCCCTAATTTGTAATCGTAAACTTTATCTTAAAAACGTGAAAAATATCTTGTTCTTAAAAAAGGAACACTTACCCCGACAGAGCATTTTTTATTTTGTTACTTAATGTTTCTTCTAGTATCCTATTGTGTATCTCTAACAAAATCATTATTATATCTTATATTAATTAATTTTTATATTATAACACAGTAATTATTAATTATCTACTGAGAAATTCAATCATATACACGATTCTGACTAATTTCTAATCTTTTCTCTTGATCGTAGGTTTAACATAGCCAGATCACCTAACTATATGTATGTTGTACTACTACCAATAGCAATTGATTTATTGGACAATATACATTTTATTATATTCTATTTAATATGTTAAAATTTTCATTTATTTACTTATTTCATAGATGTATATAATATATAAACATTTTTATTAATTGAATTCAATTGAAAATAATCAATTATTTTACTAATCTAGTTATAACTAAGTACTTAAGTCAGTTTTACAATACAGAAAAATATTGAAGGTTCATCATATATCATTACATCATCAATGTTCATACATAATAAGAAAAAGAAAATAAATTTCAAATATTTACTAATAATATTTTATTTTAATTTTAAAAATAATATTATAAGCATAATATTAATTTTATTCATAAATAATTTTATTTCATAATACGAATTAATAAAATAAAATTGTTAAAATTATGATATTCTTATGATATTCATATTATATATATTCATATTAGTGATCTCTAAAATAATTCTTTAATTTTTTCATTATTAATAAATTTTATATTTTTTAAATTTCAAATAAATAATTTTTTATGAATTTTTTGAAATAATTTTTAAATTTAAATTTGAATTAAGTAACAATAATTAAATAATTTAAACAAATTATATAACAAATAAAGTGATTTTTAATTAGTCTAAAAATATATAGTCTTTTATTTTAATATTTGAATGTTATTTACTAATTAATAAAAATAACATTAAAAATGAAGATTTCATATTACATACATATACAAAATGTGATTAAATATCTCAATGTCTCATTATATTAAAATATTAGAATTTCATAATATTTAATTAAAATTCGCGCCAAAAAATTTCAAAACAATATACATTCACAATTAATAATGTATATATTTTCTGAGTTAAACATCGAAAATTCATAAAATCACGACATATGTTGCAATTTATTGATTGATAAAATATTGAAATCTAAATCAATTTGTATTGTTATAATAAATATGTGGTATTTATTGACATGTATATATAATTTTTATATACTGATTTGATATTTTCAAAAATTGTGGAGTAATGAATAATTAAAAGATTTATAAATGATTTTCAGATTAATTTCATCGACAATAACTGAAATCGCATTAGTTATCGTGTGATTTTATTTATATTCGTTAATTAAGATTCAATGAACTGCGCTATTGCATGAATTCATTATAATATCGACCATAATGTTGTTAAAAGTGTGAAATCACCTTTAATATATATGTAAGATGATTCTCTATAACGTACTTACTATATAAATTGTAATAAATTAAAAAATATAGATATAGAAAACAATAAACAATTTTAAATCAATTTATTGATGAAATATCAATCATTGATAACTGTAATTAATTATTTTCTAACATGATTATTACTAGTATAGATAGTATAGAAAGATACAATATTTTATTTTTGAAATTCTATAATTATAATATATATATCTAATAAAATAAAATAAGAAAGATTAGATTCACACACTTAGTCATTGCGCTTGAAGAATTCAAACATTATTCTAAACACTTATATTAAAGTTAATTTGTTTTATAGTTTTAGTTTATTATTAAATTATTATCATTCAGTTTATTATTAAATTAAAATAATGTTTAAATATTAATTTATTGTATTTTTATTATTTTTTTAAGTCATAATTTCTATCATCGCGATCAAAACACTTTAACATTTCACAAGTAACCTAAACTAAAAGTCTTTATGGAACATCTAATAGAACAATGTATATATGTACATATTTATATATATAAATATTTGTTTATTCGTCTATTAATTAAAAATTACAAATGAATTTATATATTAAAAATGTGTTTATTTATTTAAATATAAACTGATATTTTTAAATTTTCTTATTAAAAATTTATGATATAATTATGACATTTATGTATTCATTTTTCATTATTGATATTATTATAAATTTTTGAACATATTATAAAAAATTAATAAGAAATGCTGCTAATAAGAAATCCGATTATAATTTGTATTTAAATAAATTATTTTTTAATCTAAATTATTCTTTTAATTGTATATTTTATTGTATTTTCATAATTTTAAATAATTTTTTCATTTTTCTAAATTTTAATTAATTACATAATCAATATATAATATAAATTATTCATATATGTTGGTATTATTAAACTTATGATAGGAATTTAAAATATTCCATAATAGTTAATTTATTTTTATTTTAAATTTTATATTCATTATTTATTTATTCTATAGCAAAAAACTTTTAATAATATGATAATAATAAAGATATGTTGAAAACAAAATAATGTGCATAATATACATAATTCTACAACAATACATTATGTTTTTATTCAAATATTTATTTATAAATGAAGTGACATGACATGCGCCATGGAAAATAGGACATAGCAATGGCTTAAAGAAGAAGAAAAAATCGTGCACATAACTATTACTTCGATTATTTCGATGCTCAGTACGTTTTTTTATATTTTTTGTATGTCCAAAAACCGATTTTCGTTTGAACATAATATTTGCAATTGTTTGAGATATGTACAAATTATATACATTCAAATGTTTTGTTTGAAATTACAATTCAAATGTCACCAAAGCAACAAAGAACCCATTCTCGATTCAAGGTAATTTTAATTTATATATGAAAAAAATAGATAAATACATATAGAAAACTTTTTCAAAATTATATGACAAATTATATGATAATTGTAAAAATAAATGTAAAATTGCTTATTAAATGATATAAATAATTAATTTAGATCAATAAAAAATGAAAAATATGATAATTTTCTTATGAAAATATAAATATTATGTAAAACAATTTATATATAATTCATAATTTTTTTGTAGAATTATATTATTTTACATTTTGAAAAAAATAACAATAAATACTTATGTTACAATATTGAATACAATAATTTATTAATATGCTTTAAATATTTTTATATCATGTCAAATGAAATAAATATTCTTTATAATTTTAAGGTGATAACTCCATTTCGATCATTAGTTCTTTGTGGAGAAAGTAGACAAGAAATGGAAGATTGGTTGAATGCATTAAGAACAGTAACAAAGAATTGCCCTCAGACAGATTCTGGAATTGCAGAAATGCTTAGTGGTAATCATCAATGGTATGCAACAAGTCATGCAAGACCAACATATTGTAATGTTTGTAGAGATGCTCTTTATGGTAAATATTTTATTATATATCATTTTATTTATTATAATAATTCATGTATTTATTAAAATAAGTTTAAATAAGTTTAATTTTTTAATTTTTACAACATAATATTATATTTTAACATTATATTTTAATAAGAATATGTTATATTATAATTAATATTATTATTTATACAAATTATTTATAATATTATATTAATATTATAAATAATTTGATTTTACAATAGATAATTAATAATTTTTGTTATAGTATATATTTTATAATACTAAATTTAATTAATAAAAAATGAAATAATATAAAGGATAATAAAAAATTATGTGTATATCAATCTTTGATTTATAAATTCATATGAATATTATTCTATCTTAATGTAATAAATTATAAAAAATATCAATAATTATCATTATTATAAGTAATAATACATATTATGTATAATATATATGTTATATTTATATATTACAGGTGTTACTTCTCATGGTTTAAGTTGTGAAATATGTAAATATAAAGTTCATAAACGATGTAGTATAAAAGCAATAAATAATTGCAAATGGACCACTTTAGCATCTATTGGCAAAGACATTATTGAGGATAAAGATGGGGTATATGTAAAAAGATTATAATTTATTAGTATTCTGTTAACTCTTCTTTTGATTTTTAATATTAATTCTTTACATAGTCTTGTGGAATTGCTAAAATAAAATGAAATTTATAATTGTTATAATAAGTGATATTTTGTTGTAGTTTTTTATTAAAAACAAATTATAATTATTATAATATATTTTCTAAACTATTTTTATATAGAACATTACTATGCCTCATCAATGGATGGAAGGCAATTTACCGGTATCCTCAAAATGTTCTGTGTGTGATAAAACTTGTGGTTCTGTACTCAGGTATAATATTATATTTTAAATATATGCATAATTCAAATTAAAAATTTTTTTTTATTTTCTTATTATAATTACATAGGCTTCAAGATTGGAGATGTTTATGGTGTAGAGCTACAGTACACACAGCTTGTAGACCTGCCATGAGTGTTAAATGTCCATTAGGACCAGTTAAATTGAGTGTAGTTCCTCCTACAGCACTGCATAGTATAGGTGACATTATTTGTAAAATTTTTTTAACATATCCAATATTTTATTAATTATATTTTTTTATAGTTTAATTGTATGTACATATTTAATGAATTTTTAAATTATTAGATTTATTTTTATATGTATAGAATCTA